GTACCAGGGCTTGAACTCAGGACCTCGAGCTTGAGGGGCAGGTGCGGTGCCACTGAGCTAAATCCCCATCCCTGGAATCCTAGCTCTTAATGGGAAGGAGTGGGTAATGTCTGTAGGCTTAGAGGATCTAGGGGAACCTAGGCATTGAAGGTTTTCAGGAACATCAATCTAGACTGAAGTATCCCATCTCTCTCCATTCAACCCCTGGCCTTGACAAAGACTTACTTACCTTCACTGGGAATTTATCCTTGGAGTTTGACTTTTCTGACCATTAAATCTTGTGCCATGGTACCTTCCCATGGAGGAGGTCAGAGTCCTTCAGTATCCTACTGATAAAGCTGTGGTGGTTTCAAGCTACCTCTACAAATTCTTGGATGGGCCATCAAGAAGAGGTAGATCCTAATTCTCTTCCTCCAGTGTGTGGGCAGCATTTGGCTACTTGTTTGTAGTGAAACATAACGAAGTGGAAGTGATGTCGAGTATTTCAGAAACCTTGTCACAAAGGGCACTGAGGTTTCTTCTTTGCAGTCTCTCAGGTGAATTTGCTCTGGAGGAAGTCAGCTGGACTATCACAAGGAGAACCAGGAAGCCTCTGCAGAAATCTGGGGAGTGAGGAACTGATGAGGCCTCAGACAAATACCCACATCAGCAATCCTGAAAACAGATCCACAGCTCCAGCCGTGAAGCTACAGATAACCATAGCACCAGATAACTAAATAAAAGCTGATACCTTTTGTTACTGTTAGGGGTGAGCGTGTATATGTGTGCACATGTTGTTTGAGGGGTATTGTTTGAAATTAAGCTCATTGTACTCTTAGAGGCAATTTAAACTTTGAAGGTTATGGATTTGATGCATATAAAAAGTATGTAGGAGGGCAAGGGAATGGGGAAAAAATAAGAACCAAGATACATCATGTAAAGGTACAAGTTCCCAGTGATGAATGTAATTGTATTGCATACCTAAAATATACCAATAAACTTAATGAAAAAAAAAAGAAAAAGAAAAAATTGTTCTGCTTTACTCATAAGAGAAATAAAAATTAAAAAAAAGGCATTTAGGTGAATAAAAAATAGGAGATTAAAGGTAGGCTTTGAAATACAATGGTCCCTCGGTTCATGAACTTAATTCTTTCCATAACTCTGATCGCCAGCTGAACTGGCTGAGAACCAAATCAAATTTCCCCACAGGGTCAACTTTGGCCCTAACCATTGAATTTGATTTGGTTCCTGTCCAATTTGGTTAGCGACCAGAATGTTGGAATTACATTCGTGAACTGAGGCACCACTCTATAAGACACCAAAGGCATTCTAGAACATTTAAAAAAGAAGAAGAAGAAGAGGAGAAGAAGAAGAAGAAGAAGAAGAAGAAGAAGAAGAAGAAGAAGAAGAAGAAGAAGAAGAGGGGGAGGGGGGGGAGGAGGAGGAGGAGGAGGGGAGGAAGAAGAAGAAGAAGAAGGAGGAGGAGGAGGAGGAGGAGGAAGAAGAAGAAGAAGAAGAAGAAGAAGAGGGGGAGGGGGGGGAGGAGGAGGAGGAGGAGGGGAGGAAGAAGAAGAAGAAGAAGGAGGAGGAGGAGGAGGAGGAGGAGGAAGAAGAAGAAGAAGAAGAAGAAGAAGAAGAAAAGAAGAAAAGAAGAAAAGAAGAAAAGAAGAAAAGAAGAAGAAAGAAGAAGAAAAACCCCCCTCAAGGACAGTGGTACATTGTTAAAGTAAAACAGGGGTCAGCAAACTGCGCTGTAGGTTGGCAAAATTTTTTTTACACTAACCTCCATATGTTATGCTACAATTACAATGGTAGAATTTTTATTTTACAGAGTCATACAACCACAATCTAACTTTAGACATTTTCTTCTCTTTTTTTGGTACTGGGGATCGAACTCAGGACCGTGTGCTTGTGAGGCAGGCGGTGCAACCACTGACCTAAATCCCTGGCCCTAGAACATTTTTCATGCCTTATACACTTGGTTACTCCCATCCCTACTCCATTACCTGCCGTGGGCCCTTGTAACTACAAATCCTTCTGTCTCCAAGGGTTTGCCTTTTCTAAACCCTCGCTCATTGTGGTCTGCCAATTTTCCAAATGTTGACACGTTTCACTGTACAAAACCCAAACCCCAAACCGAACTCAGTGGTTAAGACTACCACTGCCTGATCAGAAAAATCTTGTGTTGGGTATATGCTTTCCAGAATAACTGTTATCAAAAGCTTGAATTTTATTGCAGCCATAATGCCAATTATTTTTCTTAAAGTTGTAGGCTTATGTAGTTGTTGCTATTTTTAAATCTTCAGTTGGGAATTGAACCAAAGACTTCATTTATGCTAGGCAAGTACTCTACTACTGAGCTATACCCCCAGCTCTTTATTATTCCACACTGGCCTAGAACTTGTAATCTTCCTGTCTCAGCCTCCTAATTACAGTAGTTGGGATCACAGATGTGTGCTACCACACCTCATTTTTAGTTCATTTTTGAGAAAATGTGTGCCAATTGCCCAGGGCTGAATGACCACAGTTTGTCAGTACAGTGATAATGTTAGTTGTCAGACTTAATCACTGAAGAGTTTGAGAACTGAACACACACACACACACACACACACACACACACACACACACATATTTTTTTTCCAGTACTGGGAATCAAACTTAAGACCTTGCACTTGCGAGGCAGGTGCAACACCACTGAGCTAAATCCCGGGCCACTGAACATATTTTTCCCACAAGAAACAATGGAAAACCAAACAACTGGTTCTGAGGACTAAAATTACACTTATAAATTCATGTTCCCAGGATTTTAACAACGATTTCTTTCTTTAACTCTACCATGGTTCTCACAGTTTTCCTCTTACCTTTACTGCTGGTATCACTAACTTTCTTTGGAGCCACGGTTGTGATATTTTATTCAAATAAAGTGCAAAACAAAAAAGCACAGTGATAAATGTTTAATGCACTAGCACAAGCGCTATATGTTGTCTGGGTGAGAGCAGCATTCAGACAGGAGTCTCCCCTTTGTGTCCGAAGTGTGGTACGAGGTGCGACTCACCCTCGGTCCCATACAGGTTTTTTCAAGTCGAATTTTTGGTTAGACAGACTATTGAGCAAAGTTAGAAACACGGAGCAGATTTTTTTGGGGAACTTGGCTGTTTCAGTGGTAGAACTTTTGAGTTTAGAGCTGCTGGATAACCGAGGTATCACTGTAGTTCTATTAAGTAAAAATGACATTTCATCGAGAATTACTAGGTCAGATCATGATTCAAATGATCATGGAGATGCTTTTCTTTCTCTTCTTTCTTCTTCTTCTTCTTCTTCTTTTTTTTTTTTTTGGTGTTTTGAGACAGGGTGATCTCACCATGTAGTGGAGACTGACCTGGAACTTACTGTGTAGCCCAGGCTGGTCTCGAACTCACAGTGATCCTCCTGCTTCAGCCTCTGTGTGCTGGGATTACAGGTGTGCATCACCACGCCCAGCAGAGATGCTTTTCTTGAGACAACCATTATACTTCCATACACAGTAGAGATGGTCTTTGTATCGTGCCCTTTTCCCATTTCATCACGTATTATATCCTGCAGTAAAATATAAAATGTGAACTCAAAGGCAAAATTGAACAAAGTTAGTGTTTTTTTTTTCATTGCTTCATCAAGAACATTTTTTAAAAAGAGAAACTGGCTTTTAAAAAAATATTTCTTTTCCCAATGTGAAGGCAGTGAAGAATCCAACTTTAGTAAAGTTGGGCTTACCTGTGTCATCAGCTCCCTCCCAGTCCTACTTCCCCTCCCCTGCCAGACCACCTGTCCTTACTTCGAATACAGTGATTTGTGCCTATGATTGCTAAGTAACTTTATGTAACTGGAATCGAGAGAAACTGGCTTTTAAAAAAATATTTCTTTTCCCAATGTGAAGGCAGTGAAGAATCCAACTTTAGTAAAGTTGGGCTTACCTGTGTCATCAGCTCCCTCCCAGTCCTACTTCCCCTCCCCTGCCAGACCACCTGTCCTTACTTCGAATACAGTGATTTGTGCCTATGATTGCTAAGTAACTTTATGTAACTGGAATCGCGGATAGTCTTACCAGAAAAAAAAGAAAAAAGAAAAAAAATACTTTCAGCTGTGGTTGAGGGTAAAAAAGTGGCTTTAGGAGAGAAAGTGTTTGTCTGATGTTCCAGGCGACCATGACAAGTTGCAAACTCCAGTGGTAGTTTTTTTCTCCCTTCACAGATGACTTCGTTTTCCTTGCTGTCCTTTTAGTTCCTATGTTATACCAATTTCCTCTTTCCCTAAATTCTGCAGACATCTACTTCTTTGGTAACAGTCTCCATCTGCTCTTGTTTATTAAGGTTTTGAAATTAAGAAAAATGCACAGCAAATTTCAAGAAGAAAACAACAATTGGGCTGGGGGATTTAGCTCAGTGGTTCCACCGCCTGCCTTGCAAGTTCAAGGACTGGAGTTTGATAGCTGGCACCAAGAAAAAAAGAAAAGAAAAGAAAAAAAAGAAAACAACAATCACCTGCATCCCTACCACTTAGGGCCAATCATTGCTCATGTCTTTGGATATTTGCTTCAAATCTTTTTATTTTTAAAGAAAAATGACTGTTGGCTGGATAATAATATTAATTTTTTCATTTTGTTCATTGAAAAGAGCACAGACATACTCCAGTAGAATGGCTGGCTATTCTTGAAAACACAAAAGAGTGAGTATTGACAGGTATGTGATACACATTGTTGGTCAGAATGTAAATTAGTACACCATTATGGAGACCAGTATGGAGGTCCCTCAAAAAATAAAAAATCAAACTACCATATGATCCAGCAATGCCACTACCCAAAGAGTGAAACTGGGATGCTGAGAAGCCCTCTGAATTCTTGTGCGTGTTATAGCAATATTCACAATCACCAAAATGTGGAATTACCTAAGCATCTATCAGCTGCTGAATGGATAAAGAAAATGCGGTGAATAAACACAGGGTAATGCTATTCACCCACAGAAAAGAATGAAATCCTGTCATTTGCAACAATATGGATGGGACCGGAGATGACTATGTGAAATTGAGGCAAACCAGGTACAGAAAGGCTGTATGATCTCACTCATATATGGAATTTAAAAAAAAATGATCATGTAGAAGTTGAAAGTAAGCTGGATGTGGTGGTGAATGCTTGTAATCATAGTACTCCTAGGAAGCTGAGGCAGGAGGGTCACAGGGTTGAGCCCAGCCTGGGAGACTTAACAAATTGATAAGACCCTGTCTCCAAATAAAAAAGCAGTTCAGTGCAAAGGTCCTGGATTCAATCTCTAGTACTGGAAAAAAACAAACAAACAAGGAATGGGGAAGAGAACGGTGGTTATCAAAGACTGGGGAGACAGCGTGGGGCCGGGAGAGGTTGATAAATGGGCATTAAACTATAGTTAGAGAAGAGCGAGCAGCTCTGGAGTGTGACTCTAGATAACAATAATGTACTGCATGTATAGTTAAAAAAAAAACAGAAGAAAGTTTGAATGTTTTTACCGTAAAGAAATGACAGTGTTTGAACAGAATAGTTTTTTTTTTTTGTTTTTTTGTTTTTTTTTTTGGTACCGGCGATCGAATTCGGGTCTTTGCACTTGCGAGGCAGGCGGTGGCACCACCGAGCTAAATCCCCAGCCTGGAGACAACAGATGTATACATGCATCAAAACATCACATGGTACCTCAGATGTCCAATTTTAATGTTTTTATATATTGATTAAAAAATACATTTAAGTGATAGAGTATGCTTGAGGCCCTGCATAAAATAGAATGAAACAAAATGACATTTAATGAGCTCACTGAGTGTTGAAAATGGCAATGATAAAATTTAGAAAACAGATGATCCTCCTTGGGGGTATAGCTAAGTGGTAGAGCCCTTGCCTAGCATGTGTGAGACCCTGGGTTCTATCCCCAGCTCTGGGGAAAA